AAAAAAAAAAAAAATAAATAAATAAATTAAACTTTAAAGAAAAAAAACAATATTTTTTTTCTAAAACAAAATAACAAAAGCTCAAAAAGAATACAAAATTCAAAAACTATTAAAAAGATCATAAGTACTTGAATAGTTAAAGAATTTAAATAGTTTAATTTTTAATTGCAAAAAAATTTTAAAAGATTTATAGTAATAAACTATAATTGTTATTCAAAACTCAAATCAAGAAGAATATTAAAAAAAATTGGAATTAAATTATTACTAAATTATTAAAATTTATCTATAATTATTATTCAAAACTCAAATCAAGAAGAATATTAAAAAGGTTAGAATTAAATTATTATTAAATTATTAAAATTTATCTTTATTAATTAATTAATTTATTTAGAAAATGAAAAATTATATATATGGGTCAAAAAACTAAAAAGAGAAAATGTTAAATTTATAAAACAATTAGATCTAATAGAATATATTAACAACAAGTTTTCTAAAGAATTAAAATAGTAAAAAAATAAAATAGAAGATTTAAAAAAGAAAATTGATCAACTCAATCTGTAAAACTTGAACTTAATTCTATAATAGTTGTAAAATCTAGAACTATTAATATATTAAAATCTAAAAGTTCACTGAGTTTAGAAAAGTGTTGAAGAATTTAATCTAAAAGAAGTAGTAAAGAGACAAAACTAATAAAATTAGTTACTAAAAATAAGTTAAAACTAAAAGAAGCAAGAACAAAAATAAAAAACTTAATAAAAACCATTTTTGATAAATATAAACTAAAAGTAGACAATATTTTTCAAGTGATATAAATAAAAAAATATTACAAAAGTTAATATTTGAATTAATAAAATCTATAGCTTCACATTTTAATTTCTTATGAAAGCAAATAAACAAATAGTTAGGCACTTTACATTAGTATTAGAAAGGAAGATATCGGAAGACAAAAACTAGAAAACTGAAAGTAGTCAATTATCACTTACATATAAATAGTCAATTAAATGAAGTAAGACTAATAATATTTTGTATTTATATTATTTTCAAATATTAATTTTTAATTAATAATTAAGAAAAGAATATGAGAATTAAAAGTATACAGTTTCTTATTGGATAAAGGTCTAAAAAGTTATCAAATATCAGAATAAATTAATGAGTATAATTAAAAAATAAAGATTAATTTATTTGAAAAAGTAAGACTAATTCAGAAAACTTCATTAAAAGAAGAATAAATATATATGATTATAATTAATATTTTGAAGAAATATTTTTCAGTAAAATATTTTATATCAAATAATTACAATATTAATTATAGTTATTTATAATTAAAGGATTTATTGAAATATTTGGATAATATTTGAAATCAATTCAATCCTTCTAATCAATTTATAAATTATATTATAATAATTCATATTTCTATGATATTTTACTATCAGAAAATTTATCGAATTAATATATAGTTTAGAAGATATTTAAAACATAAACAAAAAAAAAAACTAGGAAAGAATAAAAAATTATTATTTAAATTTAAAAAATGAAAATTATTAAATATAAAAAATTATTAATATATTTAGAGAGTGAGAAACAAACTAGAGAAAATATACAAATGAATAAAATTTAGAGGTAGTTAAGAAATTAGAAGAAAAAAATAAAAAATTCCAAAAAACATTCAATAATATAAAACTAATTGAAGCTAATTTTAAAAAAATCAAGTCAAAATCTTTAAAGAAAAAAGAAATATAAATATAAGAGAAGAAAGAGAAGAAAAAGAAAAATTTTATAAAATTTATTAAACTTTTTAAATATTTATTAAATTATAATACTGAATTTGTAACTTTTATTAAATTTTTTGCTATATTATGTAATCTTTTTTGTTAAATTTTTTACTATAGTATCGATTTTTTTGCTAAATTTTTTGTTGCAATATATAAAAAAAATTTTTTTTACTACAATATACAAATTTTTTATACAATATATCAAATTTTTTTTACAATATTATCAAATTCTATATTAAAAATTTTTTGCCATAGTATATTAAAAAATTTTTACTAATATTTTTAATACTAAGTAATAACAATTGAAAATAATTTATCAATGTTTTTATTATTATATTTTATTAAATTTAATAATAATTCAATTACCAAATGATATAATTTTGACTTAGTATTAATTTTTAATAAATAATTAAAAAAATATATAAAGAATTAAAAATATATAATTATTTACTGAACAAAGATCTAAGAAAATTATTAAATATTAAATTAAATTAAAAAAAATATAATTAAAATAGCAAAGATTTATTTTCTTAAAAAAAAAAATAAAACTAATTTAAAAAACCTTATTAAAAAAAATAAATATACAGTATATAATTATAGTTTGTATTTTAAAAAAATACTTTTTGATAAAATATTTTATATTAAATAATTATAATATTAATTATAATTACTTATAATTAAAAATTTTATTAAAAATTTTCAAAATTAATAACTAACTTATAAATAATATTGTAATAATTCTTATTATTATGATATAGTCTATCATAAGACCTATAAAATTGGACATATAATTCAAAAAAATTTTAAAATATAAAAATAAAATAAAAAATAAAAAAAAGATTTGTAAACTCTTTCCACTAATCTTTTACGCATACACAAAAAAGATATTTGCAAGAAAATTTTTATTTCTTTGCTAATAAAGTCTTAATACTATCCCTAAATCAACTTGGAGTTTTACTTTAAGAGATATTCTTAAACCCTTTTCTTGTTTATATTCTTCTTTAAACAAAAACTTGACTTCCTATGACCTAAAAAAGTCAATAAATACTTTCTCTACCTATAGTAAGAAAGTTCTATAAGGAAGAAAAACTAATTGTGTAGTACTTGAAGCCTTTTATATTCAAGTATGTCTATAGAGATTATCTACAGTAAAAGGCAACAAACATTAAGTCATATTTCAAAGTATTTGCTTACTATTTTTTCTCTCTTATAGTTACTCAAAAATTTTTTAATTTTATAGAGAATTTTGCCTGCTTCAATTTGACCCTAAATTTTAGGTGATATAATCTATTATAAAATATAATTAGTGAACACAAAATACGTTAATAACTGAATATAAACAAGTTCCTACTGATCACTTCACATGTTCTAATAATTTTATTGGTAATTGAAAGAGTTGATTGATATCACATGTCTACCCCACTTCTCTAATTGGATTAACCTACAAATTAAGTTCCATGAAGTTAATAATATATAAGTAACAAGTTCTCAGGTATTAAAAAAGCTACTATTTTTTCAAGCTGAGGTCTTTCTCCTCTATTATTCTGATCAGGCAAAGTTTAAGACCAAGATCTCCTTTTTATTCTGATCAAATAATAAGACTGAACGGTTTCTAATTCATGCCAAACTTCAATCTTTTAGTTATAGTTGAGAATACATTTCACCAGAAATTGTTGAAGGATATCATAATTGACAAGAATCCCTATCACTTTTGAAACCCTCCTACCATTATAAGGCAAAAGAATTATGAGGAATCTGATTTTTTGAATAATGGAATATATATGCTAGTAAAATTCCTTTAACTAGGCATAGCTGTTGGAAAGTATCATACTGAAACAATATGATCCAATTCCTACTAGGTCACATAAGAACCAAAAAGGATTTGTTAATGTGTTTATTAGTAAATTTAATCAAATTTGGCAATAATTTAACTGTGAATGACTGGAACAAAAAACCATATAACAAATCTAATTTAGAAGGAACATAAAAAAATTTTTAGACAGTAAAAATAAAATTTTGCGATCGATAATTTTCGGTCCGATAAAAATCGCCCTAATGCTGTCCTACCCGTCTGAACAGTATTTGCTCGTGTATTTTATGATCATCATTCGTCATTTGTTCTTGAAATTAAATAATTCATTCGCATAGCCTAGACTCCAATTAGAGAATCAATCAACAACTATTATACTAATTATTTTAAGCAATCATCAAAGCCTTAATGAAGTGTCAGATGATCTGGGAAACTATCCCGGTTGGGAGTTACACAACGTGGTTTTCTTATTTTCTCGATCTCCTTTGCCAAAATTCTTTATAAATGTCATCCTCATCACATGTTAGCGTATTGGTTTCTCAAAATGAAAAAGAAATCGACGAGGATCTGAAGGAATCTGAGGAATTAATGGATAAGAATGATCGAGAGTCTGATGAAGAAGAGCCGCAGGATGTTCCAGAGCGTCTGGAATCTGGGGAGTCTGGACAAGAAAGGGAGGGGTTATTAAGTGGACATCCAGCCGATGAAGAATTACAAGAAAATCCAGATAAGGTAAAGCATTATATGATTATCTTTAAACAAATGTAAGTATCTACAATGTGCGAAGGCATTTATTAAAAGAATCTTTTTCGCAATGAAAGACTCAGAAGTTACCACTCAGGATTATAATGCTTCTGATCTTGCTCACTGTATTCGTGGGTTCAATATATATACTTGTTCTCTTTCCTAAAGATTATTACGACGAACCAGTTCTGCCGTTACTTAGCAATGGAACTCACGATTTTCATCCGACCGTGATATTACTTTCTTTTGATGGTTTTAGATATGATTATTTAACAAGAAATGTTACACCTCATCTTACGAAATTTTGTTTGTTTTTTTTTCGCGTTTAAAGTGTTCTATTTACTATTTTGGTGAATAGTTTATGACTGACGTGATCCTTTTTCGACAGATCAGAATGGTCTGCAGGCTAAATATTTGATACCTTCGTTTCCGGTAAGAATCACTATATATCAGCTATGGTAAAAAATTTTTTTTTCTTTTTTCACAAATATCATAATCTACATTACAGTCTGTCACTTTTCCAAATCACTACACTATAGTCACTGGGCTTTATCCTGAATCACATGGAATTGTTGGAAATGAATTCTATGATCCAGATTTGAAAGATTACTTTTATTATAAAGACCCACGAAAGAGTCTTGATTCAAAATGGTGGGGAGGAGAACCTGTGAGTATTTTGTTTCATGTTCAACCGTAAATAATTTATTAGCGAAATTCCTTATTCTTTTCTTGGTTTATAAAGATATGGGTTACAGCTGCTAAGCAAGGTCAAAAATCCGGAGTATCACAATGGGTCGGTTCATCTTCTGTGATTAAAGGCCTTATGCCAACATATCATTACCCTTTTGATCCAAATGTGACAATGGATGAACAAGTTTCGCGTGTGATGAATTGGTTGGATCTTCCATTGAATGAGAGACCAACGTTTATTTCAGCGTATGTAAGTGACGTTGATTATATAGGTCATAGAAAAGGACCTGACTCCGTAGAATTGGATGAGGCCCTGAAATTGACAGACAACATGACTCGCAATTTATTGGAGGGATTGTCTCAAAGGAATCTTATGAATATCGTTAATTTCATAATCGTTAGTATCATTATAACATTGAATTATATGATAATTGCATTATATTTTATTGATGAAATCCAATCTGTAAATAGGTTAGTGATCATGGAATGGTAGCGTCAAATGATTCCAATCTTATTTATCTTGATGAAATATTCAACATTTCCAAAGTCCATCCTTTAGTGGGATACCCCTTGGTTGATATTCGACCCTATGATGATTTAGATACTAATGAGATATATTTAAAGTTGAAGAACGCAAGTTTAAACAAACCATGGGAATGCTTTCTTCGAGGTATTTAAAACGTAAATTGTTATATATATGTATGTTTGGTCGTTACTTGGGATTCAAATTTACATTTTGGAACAGACGAAATACCCGAGAGATACCACTTTCGCAAATCACATCGAATCCCACCCATATTATGCATTCCGTTGATGCCTTGGACATTCGCATCTCGTGAATTTACGACAAATCACACGACATTCGGAATCCATGGCTATGATAATCTTGAACCCATGATGAGAGGAATCTTTTTGGCTGCCGGACCTGTGTTTAGGAAAGTTGCGGGAAATACGAAAACAAATGTAGTTAACGGATTTTACAACATTGAAGTGTATAATATTATAGCAAAGATTCTGGAATTAATGCCGGCAGAGAATAATGGTACTGTTGGCGGAATACTATGGAAGTGAAATCCTATTGTTCGTTTAGGGTTTAGCATGAAGAATTTAGCTTATCGGATAATTAATTTATTTGAACTTTATATAATAGACGATTGGATAATTTTAATTGCAATACTTTATTCCTGAAGAGTTTTCATTATTAATAATATGACTTGTCATTCTTGTAGGCAATAAAAATTTTTTGCGACGAAATTTACGAATATAATTCTAGATAATATTATTTAGTTTAATTTTTCATTATTATTATTAATTATTAAATTAATTTTAATTTATATATAAGTTGTATATATCAAGTTTATATGAAAAATTTTATTATTATTTTATTTTGCAATAATCATTAAGCTAGGCTGGTAGCAAGTATTTATTATATCAATAGACTACTTAGTACAAAATATATTTGGCATTGTATAGATGTATAATCTAAGCTAAATTAAATCTTTTATTAACAAACTCATTTTAAGTCAAAGTTTTTAAATTGGACTATAGAAACAATATGATATTATGAGTACTTGGAATAAATGCACTCTTAATAACTTATATCATTTTCGATCAATTGTTAAAACTAATTGTTTTATATAATATTAAATAAAACAAAAAAATATATTTATTTATCTTTAATCTTAATTATTTTTTATATATTATTTAAAAAAACTTATTGTTTGCTAAAAATCTTACTTTTAAAAATATACCAATTTCAACTTGTTTTAAATAATAATTTTATATGTATTTATACAAAATACATAATTGATTGAAGTTCTTAAATAATTTAATAAAAATTGAAAAAAAATTTTTTTTTAAAAACACTTAACTTGCCTATTTTATTGATTGTATACAGTACATTTATATTGATTTATAGAATGATTGTATAAACCATTTTTAATATTAAGCAAAATAATAAAATTAATTAATGATAAGCATTTATTACCAATGATGGTAGGGTTCAATTTTTATTCCTTGTGACTTGTTGTATTTAGTTAGAGAGATCAAAATACTAGGCTCCATCAATATGTTTAATGAAAATGTCAAAAATGTTTAGAGTATCTATGATAATTTCTTCCATTATTTTAGCATATATAATTATAATGAGTATGTCTTTCTGTATTGTGTAATCTTTGAACTTGTGCTTCTTTTTCTTCTAAGTCTTAGTTATTTCCATGGCTTTTTTTCATATTTGAATATGAAGCACCTGTCTATTCATATATTATAGGTGATAAATTGAATTCTATAAATAATATTCCAGGTGACTTCTACTATTTTATCAAATGAAATAAATTGATTGATATCTAGATTATCTTTTTGTTAATACCTTTTCTAATAAAAATGGCCCATAGGCTGTTAATTTCTAGATAGTCTTCAATATCTTTTTTGTAAAAGTTTGGATTTTCTTTTTTCGGTGTATATTATGGTTTTAGAGTATATAATATTTTGTTGATATGGATTTCACGGTACTTGTATCTGAAGAAATAGATATTGTCTTTTGTTTTTGCACAAGTAAAGCAAAAGGTTAATTTGTAAATATCTGATTTGTAGATATATAGTTTGTTTACAGTCAAAAGTTCTAGATTCCATAGTTTAATCACAAATTATAGTATCTATAGCTATGATCTATGTTGTCTGTATAATTGTTTGTGATTTTTGTGAGATATAGATATTGAAGTGACTTTTTTCAATCAATGTTGGTTTTTTGTTATTGGTTTATTTTATAATTTTTCTTAAATATGATTCATTTGTATATAAAGATAATTTGTCTGATTTTTTTTATTGCTTTATAAATAGTATCAGTAATTTTAAGCTTTTAATTATAACAAAAGATAATAACATTAGGTTCAGAGTAGTTTTGTGTCAAAATATCATTGATATTAGTATTGTTTAAGCCTTGTTTGACTAATTTGTTTACTTGTTTCAATTCTTCATTGTTGTCTTCTTTTTTGTTGCTTTTGATTCAATTGAATATAATTTAAATTACCTAAATGCAGTTGTGTAGGTTGTGAATAAGTCTGGTTTTTGATATTTTTTTGATTTGTTTTAATGATATTTTTTTGCTTTAGTTATTAGTTTAGTTAAGTTTGTATGTACTAATACTTTTGTCTAAATGGTAGAATATTAAGTATAATAATTGTAACTATAATTTTTGCTTTGAAAGCTGAATATTATCTGTGATTTTGAAATAAAGGTTATTGTGTTATGGTAAGCTGATTGAAAAGATAATGTCTACTTAAAGGAAATTATAATTATTATAGTTGTACACTTTATCTATGGTTACTGTATCTTACCTTCCAGCCAACAATGGAAAGACAAAACAGGAAATTCAAAATCAAATCATTAAATGGATCAAACAACGCAATCAAGACAACTGGCACCTTATACTGGGAGGCGATTTTAATTGTAGCCCATCATT